ATATTGTAACTTTGAAGCCTTTTAACTCGAAAGATACTTAATGAAAAAATATTTTATTATAGTGTTTTGAAAAGCTCTCGAGGTATGCTATAAGAATATGTAATGAAAAATGGGGGGTTCCATTTAAAAAATTCAAAGTGACTTTGTCCTGACCTTGACGACGCCACTCGAAGTTAAACCAATGATATCATCTTATATCCCCCTCGAAATCCCAAAACTTTTATCTGAAACATTTTTCCCTAAAATACACTGTTCAAGAGATATTTGAGGTGATCGATTAAAATGGAACACCCTGTATAACATAGATGTAATGCAAATAAACACTTGTTATGTAATATGTTATATTTTAGTTATGTTGGTGTTATACAATTATAACCTGTAAATAACAGAGAATTATAACAGTTCTAAAACACAGATTGCAGTTATAAAAAAATTATATATTATTATTATTATAACTTTAACATTAATAACGTTTAATATCTGTTATATTACGTGTTACTTCTATATTATATAATGGTTATATTCTGTATTTGCTAGGTTGTTTATTACCCGATGCACAAATAAATCTCGCCTAAATTATTTTGCTAATATTTGTGCGCGATTTAACGGTATATTACACGATTTATATGTCAAATATCTTGCAAGTTTTTTTGTTCTATTCGTACAACTCCTCTGTATATTTTGATCTTGCATACATTTCACATATTTATAAAAGGAAAATCATGCGTAAATTTTGCTGAGAAAATTTTTTTTTGGTAGTTCTATAACAGCATACTGGTGTAAAATGTTTGCACAATGGAGCAATCTTCATACATAATTTGGATATTTCACAAAGAATGTAGAATTAAGATTTTCAATGAGAGATTTAAAATATGTTGTGATATATATGATGATTTAAATGTTTTTACTCACCAAGATATATTCTTCCGGGATAATTTTTATTTTGTATTATATTTATGGCTACGTTACTTTTTAAATAAATATTTTATTGAATGTATCCACATTTTATGATTTTAGAAGGTGTCAACGCCTTTCTCCAAATGTTACTAGAAGTGGCTCCGACGGCGGTTGCCTTCGACTGATTTCACTTTGAGAGATCAACGACAGTTCTCCAGAATGCCGAATCATTCCATTGTGGCATTGCGAACTGCGTACATGAATAACCTATTTTAAATATGTATACAGACAAGAGCATATATGTATATCCTATTGCAGAGCTCAAGGCTGGCCCCTATCCTTAAAATTAAAGAAGAAAGGAGAATTCATGAAAAAATATATGAAAATATTATTTTATTACTTGTTATTCTTCGTACATAGTATACAACACACAGAAGAGATGTTACTATTAGACATAGATAGTTGATGTTGTAATGAAATACAGCAATGGATCGACAGAAAATATTTTAAATGTTTACAGTTACAAATATGGCTTTTTTCTTTATCCACCTTCTTCCTATGTGTCTTTTTATATATCTAAAACAATATCGTAAAAATTTATCTTCCAATAAAAGAAAAATCTGAAAACGAAAGTGTACAAAATAATTAGCAAAAGCTCAACGAACAATTCGAATATTTATTGAAAAGTTCTTTTTTTTTTAATAAAAAGTTGCAAATTGAAAATTTAAGTAACAAAAGATAATTGAACTTTTTAAATATATATATATATATATATATATATATATATATATATATATATATATATAT